ATAGGGTTTGTGAATTGGGGGAGGGGGGTGAGTCCTCTTGAGTACTTTCTAGATCTTGGATATTCATATTTACCTGATGTGTTGCACATGAACATTATCTCCAGTTCAGTCTGGTGTCCTTTCATTGTAGACCATTGTTGTTATCTAGGCAGAAGCTTTTTAATTTTATGAAGTCCCGTTTGTGTTTTTTTGTTTGAGCTGTCCCTGTCAATGGGTCTGATCGCTGGAAACACCTTTGAGGCCCATAGCACTGCTTCCTTCTCCAGGGTGTAGGGGTCAAACCAAGCCCGATTTGCCACCCATAGAGCTCTGGAGCCAGCATGCAGCAGCCTGGCAGGCAGCCACCGGGTGGCATGTATCCAGGCCCTGTGTCTCCTGGGCAGCATTGAGTCACAGGTCCCTCAGCAGAGCCCAGCCTGGCAACTCGCAGGGAGGCCAAGAGTGCATGTCCTGCCAGAGGGCACACATTACCTCCTCTTGGGACCACACCAAGTCCCCTCTGTAGAAGGCTGGATTAACACTGGCCTCCATCTGGCTGGCCATAACTAGAGTCATCCACATACCAAGTTTCTACTAGAACCTGGGTTTGATCCAGCCCCATCAAGTAAGGGTTCGCAAGGACTTCTCCTCTGGCCCAGAGTTGAGGACCATCTACTCATGTAAGTCCCTAGCCCCTGCACAGCTTGAACCTGCCTACACAGGTTTGCAGAAACTCTTCTCACCTAGCTCTGGTGCGGGTTTTGTTTTCCCTTCCATGATCCAGTGCCTGAGCCCTTACCTAGCCCACACCTGGATGTGCAGTTTGGACTCTCACCAGAGCTGTTCCAACTGTGGGGTGTGGAACATGGCCCTTAGGCCACTGCAGAGGCTGCTGCCTTTTCCGGAGCCTATCCCAGGTGGCCTGTTTTGGAGACAACACATACAGAGAGCACAGGACCTGGGCAAAGAGGGCACCAAAGCCTGCTGAAGCACCATCAATGCAAGGAACACCTGCAAGTGTTTTCCAGGCACGGTCACAGGTGTACCTGCATGTGCTCTGGGATGGCTTTAGTCTGACACAACCCAATCCCAAGAACTTGACACAAACAGCGAGACTCTTCTGGGGCTCCAGGATCCTCAAGGCCTGATCATGAGACCATTGTTTTCCACCTATCCCATGAAAATGCACCCCTCAATCTTTATCCTGGTCACATAAAACATGGTCCCCTCTCCAGGGATTTTGAGATGTGCATTTTCTTGGGAGCAGACTGTGTTAATACCTCCCAAGCCCCAGATAGACCCGTTTCCACCCTCACTCCCCGCCCTCTTCAAAGGAATGAAGAGCTGGTCTCAGCAAGCTGCTATCCCTGCTCTAACAGGTAAAAGCCAGGTCCCCAGGGCTTTCCAGATGCTTGATCCAACTTTTCAGGTCCTTTATCAGCACCACCACCTCAGAGTCTCCTCCATCCAACCCAGCTCCACAACTCGGCTGCCCCTCTAGGGTCTGCTCCATGGAGGAGGAAGAGCCCAGGGACCCCTCAGCTCCCTGACTGTGACTGCAGGGCTTCCTCAGTGCTCCCCAGTGGAGAGCAGAGCTTTCTCCAGACACGTCAGTGTTGTTTAAACTCCCAGCGGTTGCTGGGGTTGGGCTAGGTGGCAAGGAGCTCGCCAACAGGAACAACCTGGAGGTTATGGGCTAGTCTATGGGAATGAGCACAGGCCCCGCTGCTGTATCTGGGTCCCCTGCAGGGCAGCTGATCTGCTCTGAAGTCTGGATGCTGGACTTTGTGTGCCCATAAAGGAGCATGCAGGAGCAGTAGAAAGGTCTGACTGCCTTGTTTCATTTGTGCCATAGAGTCTGGATATACCTCATTTCTACCACACTGATCACAGTTTTAGAGAGCTTTAAAGAGTTTTAAAGTTTTAAGAGTTTTAAAGAGTTTTAAAGAACAAAACTGGTGTGGTTCCCAGGAACTGTTCTTGCTTCTAGGGACCAAATGCATGATCAGGCATGTTGAGCTACTGGTGCTGTGGAGGAGCCTCAAGGTTACCCGAAATCATTCACAACAATAAATGAATCTCAGAACCAGGACGCTTGCTAAAGAGATGTCTCCTGATCTTGCAGCAGGCCGATTTCACCGGGGTGCCTCAGACAGGGGCAGGTGCTGTCCCTCTACCTGCCCCTTACGAATCCAGAGCCCAATGGAAAACCCAGGTATGTTAGACCAGTGACTGCTAACTCTAGTCCTCAAGGGATCAGGTACAGCTGCTCCTTCCCATCTCCTCGCCTCAATGTCACGCTCATGAACTGCCTTCCTCCTTTTGCCATTGAAGCTCAGTAATGGCCATGATCCAGAGACTCCAAAATGAATCTCAGAATTGAGCAGCTAGCTGCAGAGATTTCTTCGGACACTAATTATTTAAAATTGTAGAATTCCAGGGCGTGCAGCCACTTTTGTGGCCAGGTGATTTCTCATGCTATTCATAATAAGCTATACAAAATAAAGTATCTGTCTGTTAGGCAGGCTTGAGTGGTGGTGGTGGTAAGCTTAGAAATAATGGTGTTGAGATGTTTTAATGTTGGTGGGATTGAAATATTGAATGTAATCCATTATTGTGAATAACTTTATGAAAATAAAATTTAAAAAATTATTTTGCGTAACAAAAAAAAACCCATTCCTGACAGGAACTACCTGTGATTTTGAACTGTCTCCAAATAGGCAGAAAGTAACAGAGCACCAAAGGCAATATAGATCCTGAACTATCAGGGATAAAGAAAACTGCAGGTTCAGGACACCATGCTCAGTTCCAGAAGTCGAGATGGGACAGACAAGGAAAGTTTAAGGGCCTTGTTGTTTGTCTTAGTGCAAAGAAAACACCAAGAGAGGACACATGTTCTCTGGATAACACAAATCGTTGCATCCCTAATACAGTTATCAGAACCTTCGTGCTTGGTTTGCATTACACAGTGCATAAAACCTCTACTCCACAATCCCAAATTTGGTGTTCTTTGCCAGCAGTGAGAGGGTTTTTCCCAGGCTTGCGTTCTCAATAAAATTATTTGAGAACCTCACTTAAAATCTGTGTACCTGCTGTTAGCTAGTACAAGGGAGTAGAAAGAAGTTCACTGTTCATCAACCATTGAAGGAATTGCCAGATGTAGCCCTACTGCACATGGAATATGATTCTGTAGTTGACGTTTGAACTGTGGACATGTGCTGATGTAGGTGGACCAGGAAAAGCTGTTCTCAGTGAAAGAGGCCACAGAAAGCTAGATGGCCAGAGTGTGGGAATCTAGAGGAAGAAAGGAATATGTGGTTCAAGACTCAAAGATCAATGGGAAGAGAAAGGGTGATGGCTGAGTGGAGGAGGTTATGGACACCTTCTGAGGAAACAAGCTCTATTTTAAAGTGTGGTGAAATTGTTTTAAAAGGTATTTTGGAACTGAATAAGTAGTACAGCTGATGGGGCAGTTGATTTGAAAATGGGCAACCTGGATTTGATTCCTGGCACTCCATGTGGTCCCCTGAGCCCAGAAAGGAGTACTTCCTGGGCAGAGCCAGAGTAAGCTCCAGCAACCATTTTGTGTGACACTAAAACAAATCAAATTGAATGTTGAGAATTGGGAAAATTGTATACACATTAAGGTGCTTGTGTTGCATGTGCACAGCCCTCGTTCTACTGATGTCTAGCACCACGTTGTCCCCTGAGCTATACCAGGAGTGAGTCCTAGAACAAGGAGCTCTGTAGAGCAGTCACTGTTGGGTGTGACCCACGGACTCAGGGAAGAAATAGAAAGAGTCTGTCTCCCACATCTGTGAGAGCTCCTTTGTGTTGCTCTCTCCCATGCTGTGATTTTTCCCAGCGGGATGCCCTCAATCTTTGATGTGCTTTTTGATGAATTCCAAGGAAAAGGCAGCAAACTTGAGCCTCGCGTATGTCCACAGAATTGGGTGGGTCTGGTGAAACTGAGCACATCTCCCTAAGGGTGGGGAGGACTCCTCCCTGCTCCAGGGAGCACAATGTCTCACAGGACCCAACCCCTCTAACGCCCTTACCTGTTTTCATCTCAGGATTGTCCAAGGAGCATGAGAGACAGGAGATACCAAGAGTGTTTTCAATGAAATGAAATTTATTAACTATTTACACAATGACACAAAGGGGCTGCTCCAGCACAACCCCGCCACTGGGCCCGCCAAACAATACAGAGAAGTCCTAGCTGGATGAAGATCAGGTGGAAGACAAGGCTGCTAGGGGCAGCCAGGCTCGGGAGGGAGTCCCCCGGTGTCCTACTGGATGCTGTACCCATCTTGTACTGTAATCCTCTGGGCTACAGCAGGCTGGAACCTTCTCTTTGGGGGCAGGGAAGGGCCCACCAGCTCCACAGTCAAGGCTGAGTCCCCAGACACCCTGGGGTGCTCCCCAGGGAAGGGGGTCTTCTCAGTAGTGCCCAGTCCTGCTCTCCCACACAGAGGACGCTTCCTGGAAGGGGCAGTAGCAGGGGCAGCAGGATTGCAGGCCCTTCTTTGAGTGGGTTGGGTCTGAGAAGCCCCCCAGGCCCTCGGGCAGCGGGGGCCAGTGTCTGAGCCAGGGCTCATGGGGAAGCCCCAGGGCAGAAGGCTGTGTTGAGAGGCCTGGAGGAAGGCCAGGCAGGGCAGCTCCTCCTCCTCCTCACTGGAGCCCTCTGCTGCCCCATGTGGCCCCTGGCCAGGAGGGGCCTCTCCCAGCATGAGGGAGACACTGCTGTCCAGAGTAGGGGCAGCGAGGCCGGGACAGGGGGCCTGTTCTGCCTGAAGGGATGGGGATTCCAGGCTCCCCAAAGAGAGGACAGAGGCTCGAGGTGCCATCCCAGTGGCCTCAGCCTGCACAGGCCTTGAGGCGTGTCCAAAGTCAGTCTCAGGTGGACAGGATTCAGCGCTGGCCCCTGGATTATGGCCCCAGGTAGGGGTTGAGTTGCAGTGACCTGCTGCACTCTCAGATGGACTTGAGTCCTTTGGAGTCAGCTGGTGTTGGGGACAAGCCTTCTGGACCTCCTTGTCCAGTGCAGTCCGTAGACGCTTTTCCACAATCTGAAGGGAGGAGGAGAGTGTGGGCATGTGGGGGTGCAGGGAGGAACAGAGAGTGACCGCGACTCCTCCCAGAGTAGAAAACCCAGATCTCTGTCCCACTAAGGGCCCTCACCCCCGCCAACCCTTCCCTAACCCCATATTCACGTCCTCATCTTCCCTGAGGACTCAAAGGGTGGCCTCTGGCCATGGCCTGGACAGGGAGGTCACCAAGTGACTAGGCCCCAGTGCTGGGCGCCCCTCCCTGACTCATGACCCACCTGCTGCTCTGAGTGCCCTGGGACCTGTCCCCTGCGTCCCCTGCAGGGACTCTTTTCCAGCAATCACATGCAAAATGCCTCCTGTTTGCCGTGGACCGCTCCCCATTGCCTTCCAGGAAACCCTCACATTATTCCCCTGGGTCCTGCATGGACCCCAGAGACCTATGTGCCTCACCTGTGTGGGGGTGAGTCCTTCCTCCTCCTCGAGCTCCTCAGCCAGGTCCAGGAGATCCAGCTGGGATTCTGGGGAGAGCAGGTGCGCCAGGAAGCTGGGGTGAATGACTGCCTCGACCTGGGAGGGGGAAGCGGGTGTGAGGGTTCTCATACGGACTAGGAAGGAATTAAGATCCAAACACACCCGTTCTCAGCACAGTGCAGGGTCTTGGACGGTTGCACATAGTCTCTGTCATGTACACACATGACACAAAGACACACACTTTTCCACCTCTAGGCACATGTACATGTATCCACACGTTTCTGCGCAGAGCCCACACAGTACACACAGATGGAGACACACAGAGATGTTCACACATCGACCAAACCCAGAAATTCACAAACTAGGGCCAATGTTTGTACACAGGGAGACACATGTGCACACATACACACAAACACAAGTAGAAATATGTCACTACCAAGCCCTGGACAGAAGCAACCCTGCGCCCTCCAAACCCTACAGCAGTGCCCAAAACCCACCTTGGTGACAAAGGCCTCCTGGGAGCACAGCTCATACACATAGCTCAGGAGCTCCGGGTCAGGGCAGGTCCTGGCCTCCTCCTGCTGCTCCTTCCTGCCCGCTGCCCTTCGGCCAAGGGGCGCCCTGCAGACTGTATCGGGGGCCTTTAGCTGCTCGTTCATGATATCCATGTTCTCCTGCATGGTCTCAGGGGGGATCTCCTTGGGGGCCTTGGTTTTGGGGGCCCGCTGTGATTTGTGCGTCTTGGGGCAGGCTGCCCGAGCCCGGGGTCTGACTATCTTAGGGACACAGGCTGAGGAGGAAGAAGGGGAGAGGGACGTGAGGGGACCCCGCGTCTATTGCCCGTAGACACACAGCACTGAGCACAGAAATGGGGACGGATACCTGTGGGAAGTGTCAGGTCAGGTGTGTGTCTACATCTCCCATAACTGCGTGAGGGATGAGGGGACCCTCAAAGGGAGGAGGGGTCAACCGTGTCGCCAGGGTCTCCAAACCCACTTCAAAGGTGAGTCTGACGCCCTCAGGCAGCGTGATGTCTTCAGTGAGAGGGAGAAACCCAGGAACAGGGGGCCGCTGAGCATAGGCCTGGGTGTCCCCGGGAGAGTGAAGGCTCCCTGGCAGGGCAGGAAACCTAGCACCTTCCTGGGCCTATGAAAATTAGCTGGGGAACAGGGTCGGTACCTGGCTGCTGGCCTAGCGGTGGGCCTGGAGCCCCCTGAGGCTCAGGCCTGGGTGGGGCAGGGGTTGGCAGGCCCTGTACGCCATTCATCCACTGCAGCTTCTGCGCTTCCATCTCTTCCTCAGCCTCAAACTCCATGAACCTGGTATGGGGAGCACAGACCCCATTGAGATGGGCTGGCCTGGACCACACTGGATGAGGCAGGGACAGGGAACTCTCACGGCCAAGACCTCAGGAGGGTGGAGAATGGGTGGGCACAGACCCCAGCGCCCCCAGTGATTCCCCATATCAGCCTTTTGAGGGTCACAGAAAATAAAGGACTGTGACCCTCAGACTGTGGTCAGGAGCCCCAGAGTGGGGTGGGGAGAAGTGTCCCGGCCCCAGGAGGGACAAGCTTCCACAGGGGAAGGGCCTCCCGGGGATGCCAAGGACCACTTGGCCATCTGGGAGCAGCCCCTGAAGCCCGGTCCCGCAGCCAGCCCCAACCCCCACTCTCTGCCCAGGACTGACTTACTTGGCAGCCATGTCGTAGTAGATCATGCGGTCAAAATTGCTCGTGCCCTCCCATTCCCGCAGGGCCCGGCGCAGGCCTTCCTCCAGGCTCATGGTGGGCTTCAGGCGGGCCAGGGTGCGCAGAACCGGGCTGCAAGGACAGGCTCGGTCAGGGTCTGTATCTGCCGGGAGCCCCCGCTGCCCTAAACACATGCCTAGACCCCCGATGGCGGCCTGGTCTCCCCGCGCAGAGTTGACTCTGCCTCCCGCACCCCAGCTCAGTGGCCATGCTGGTGTGATCCCTCAGCTCTGGGGATACGTCATGAGATGCCAAGGCCGAGCAGTCATGGCCTGTTTGAACCCTGGTGCATCTGTGCTGTGTCTGGTCTTAGGAACAGAATGTCTCTCCTACAGACCACAGGTCGGGTCCAACCCTGATGAGCAGACTGAGTTGAAGCTTTAGGGCATGACTGGTCACTATGGGATTTGAGCCGAAACGCCAGGGTGGCATTCCTGAGGTCATGCTGTCATTGACCCTACCCTGGGGCTCACCCCAGTCCCTTCCTGTGAAGCTCCCATTAGGTCTAGGACACCCGAGGGACTTACATGAGGAAGCAGGAAACGGCCTCAGTGTCCGGAGTCTGAGGAAGGTACCTCCGGGTCAGGGCCTTGAAGTTCTGCCAGCGCCGAAAGTTCTCGTAGACGCTACTCGGCCTGCTGGAGGTTTCAGGTGATGCCTGGTTCCGGGTGTTGGCGGGACCACTCTCCCCACAAACCCACTGGGGCAGTGGTCCACCACTGGATGGGAGGATGATGGGAACCACCTGGGCCACTGGCAGTGGAGCCTGAGGAGGATGGTCTCCTGTCCCAGCCTGGGTGACAGTAGTAGCTGAGGTCGGCATAATGGTCTCCGGCAAAGATGACACCAAGTAGATGGGTGCAGGATGACCATTCACGGCAGATGGAACTTCTGGGCCCCCCCAGTTGAGTGAAGCCTGTGTCAGGATGACAGGCTGGTTCTGGGCTGATTCCACAAGCCCCACCTCAGGACTGATCTGGATGATGACCTTGCCAGCTTCAGTAACTCGGGGACCATGGCTGGCAGCTCCTGCCACCACAGGCATCATGGGGAAAGGTGACAGTACCAGAGGGTTGCCAGGAGCAATGGCCGAGGTCACCAGATGGGGCATCTGGATGGGCTCCCAGGGTGGTGACTGGGGGAGCCCTGGATTGAGAAAAGGCAAGACCCGGAAAGCAGAGCCGGAGACCCCAAGGTTCATGGTCATCTCTGGGAGCAGCACATGAGACACTGTGGAGAGGAGGGAGGGGAGTGAGAGGGAGACAGTGTGGGGGGGGAGCAAGGCCTCACTGGCCCAACCATCTCTAGATCAGGCCCTTTGAAAGGAATGAGGTGGTGTGCCCTGTCTCAGCCCTGAGTCCCTGGCACAGGCCATGCCTCCCCTGCAGCTGGGTTATACTTCGTGGAGATCCTAAGGCTAGGGTTCTTGTGTTCTGGGAGAGTTCCAACAGGGATGGCAGCAGTTGTGGAAATGGCCAGAGATTTCACCAGTCAGACACTTGGGGATGTTTCCAGAGTTCTAGAGCTGCTGATCATGTTAGATTGAAAATTGGTAACATCTTCTAAATAATCTAAGACTTTATCCCAGAGACAGATACAGGATAATTGACATCAGGCACAAACCAGGTGCCAGGAAAGAAAATTGTCTGCCACCATCGTTACTCAGGTGGAATTCACACAGAGACTCGCACTAGAGACGACCCAGAGCCTGTGCGCATCATGCTCAGGACAGAGGCCCTGATGTCTCCAACTGCTCTGACGATGCTCTTTCTGCCTCAGTACACTCCACCTCTCCTCAAGGAACAGACCTTCACAGACTTTTCTCAGGAAAACCCCACATATCACACACACACACACACACACACACACACACACACACAGAAACACACACAGAAACACACACTCATTCTCACAAACTCACACATAGACTCACACATCCATTTATCCCTTGTCTGTGAGGGATGTATGCAATTCTCAATCAATCTTCACCTCAGAGCTGAAATGCTTGCTGGGGCTGCACCATGAGATGCCAGACCATGGAAAAACAAACTTCGCCAAAAGTAGAACAATCCAGAACAACCCAGGAAGCTGAGTTGTAACTACGCTGAAGTCACCTGTCTCCCAACCTGCTGACCCAAGGCAGCTGCTGGGCTCAGCCAGCAGAGAGTTTAAGTCTGCAGAAGTGTCAGGCTCTGACTGTGGCAGTTAGTCACTTGCAGCCCAGCTCTGGGGAGGACTCATCATGGCAGAATTACACACAGACAGCCTCATTCAACAAGGTTCAGGCTGGACCATCTGTGCTGAGCTGTCCAAATCAGGTTGAACTCAGCCCAAGTCTAATTACTTCTAAACTTATTCTAGAGCACAGGAGGAGACATGGACTCAGCATGCCTGGGTCTTTCCTGTGCCACCACAAAACAGTCCCTCCAGACACATGACAAATGGCCCTGTTCCCCCATCCACCAGCAGGACACTCACATATAAAGCAGCCAAATGCCTGCTGCCACCCTGTGTCCATACCAATGACCTTCCCGCAGGTAATTTGACACACCTCCAACGATGCCCTCCCAGACCCCTCAGGTTCTCCTGGGCTCCCTTTGCTGTACAGGTGAGATATCTATGGAGCCCAGGTCTTTCTCCTCTTTCACCCACTCAAAACATGGTGTTCCCAGTCAGGGTGACTATGAACCCAATGGATTTCAGGGTGACAGAGACTTTCTCACATACACAGACACCCTCACAGGCTTACCTCCTCCTGACGCCATCGCCATAGACGTGGCCAGAGGCCACTGCAGTTTATCAGCCTTCACAACGGCAAAACTCAGGACCAGGATCAGAGAGTGAACTGCTCACGCAGACGCTCAGGATCCCAGTGGGTGAGGGTGAAGTTTGAATTCAAACCTCAGAATCTTGGGCCCAAGACATTCTGCAGTGGGGGAGGGGAGGGCCAGGAGGGCCTGGCTGGGGAAACATTCCATGAAGGGCTCTGATTGGACGGCCAGAACCAGAACTTTCCTTCAAATTGCTCAGTGGCAGAGCAGCTCACATGGCCTCTTCCAGCCACTAAGACTAAGTTTCCCGATTCTCAGCACACAGGTTGGCTTGGTCTTCGCTGTATCTCAACACTTTATCCACCAGTCTAGTTGTGTGCCCCTCAAATCTCTCTCCTTCCTCTCTTCCTGTTGACCTCTTTCAACAGAGTCTACTCTGTGTTTGCAATATTTAGTCATTTGTGACTTGTGAACCCATGGAGGTCAAAAATTAAAAGGAATTTTCCCAAGCAAACGCAGTGGGTTTTGCTTTTTTGTTTGTTTGTTTTGCTAATCCTTCATTAGGGTCCAATCCCTAGGAATGAAAGTAATGTAGAATTGTCTAACATGTTTGACTAGCTTTTTCAAAGTTTCTTTCTACTGGAATCTCTTATCCCTCCTGGAATAGCCATGAAGTTTCATGTTAAAACAGCTACGAAGCTCAAACTTACTTCTTTGCATTTGCAATACATTTTATGGATGATTTGCCTCCTAAATATAATGTTGAGTCGAGGAATATCTTTAGTGGTTCAAAGCTAAGTTTTGCCAGAGGCTCAATGATGTGTTTTTAATGCATGGCTGGGTGTTCCCTTCAACCTCGCCTTGTAATACAATGCTCTCTCCCACACCAAACTGGTTTTCTGTTGTTAACATATTTCTAGACATGTACTATGAACTGAAACCCCTAAGGATATCATTTTTATGAACTCATAACTGATTTCCACTCTGGTTAAAAGTACATGTACGTTCTACCAGCTGGCATGTGTAGTGATTTCTTTATATTGGTCAAACGGCTTCTCTCTTGTTAAGGAGACTCCAACCCCACAGCATAAACTTCTGCAGTCCCTAACTGAATCCTTGTTATGCCTGAAAAGCCACCAATCTCGTGCATGACTGGCCGACATTTGCACCACTGCAGCCTGTAGGTGCGCGCGCACTGGGGCTGTCCTGGCTCAGTTCTAACCAGTTAGAGGTAACGGACACGCACGCGCACCTGCATCTCTCGCGGGGTCTGCAACTGCCAACGTCCTACAAGCTATGGGAGTAATGAGTCCTCTTTTGGATAGTCGCACCCATGCCTATGTCGGGCTCAACAGAGGGGTATGTGGCACTGTCCAGCTGTCTCGGGGGCGCGTATCCCCCAGGCTGTGGCAGTGCCGCACACCTGGGCCAGATCGGTTCCGGATCTGGACGCTGAGAGCTAGGGTGGTAAAGGACTCCTGGGACCATTGAGTCTGCTACTTGGGGTCGGAGCGAATATGCAGCGGGGTAGGGCCATTGCCTTGCATATGGCCAACCTGGCTTCCATCCTCTTCATCCCAGATGGTACCCTGAGTACCGCCAGAGTAATTCCTGAGTGCAAAGGAATTCCTCAGCACAGCCAGTGTGGCTTCAAACCAAAACAAAAGAATCCAAAAATACAACAGCATTAAAACAGCAGGAGCAAAGAAAGCCCTACTACCATGTGGACCTTTTGTGTAGGATGCAAAAGCAAACACAAAGTTTTTCCTTATTGAAAACTTTAGCCCTTGAACATGAAAAAAGTCAGGTCACTCCTAAATGGGGAAAATGGGAAGCTCTGACATACATAGAAAATACATACATAGAAAAGCTTCACCTTTGTTTCCCAAAGCGTTTTAGAAACCAATAATTAGGTTCCATCACTATTCCCTCGTCAATAAATGAAACAGTTTTCTTGACTTAAAATATTGAAACAATCATAATCTGACATCCAATTGTTGTGCAATTGGTAGCCTGGTTGGCAGGAGATGCAAGAATTAAGCAAATATCGACAGAGATATGTAAGGTTCAGTTGAGCTTAAGAAACTGACAGTGAAACTATGTTTTTGTATATTGTAATGCCTTAAAAACCTCTTAAATGTGTGTTCATCATCTGTAGTATTTTTGGACAAGACACTTCATTTATAGAGACCAGGTAGAGATGTCCAGCCATTGTCAGCTCACAAGTACATGGGTGTAATGCTGCAATCGCAGATCTGTTTGAGTTTAAGCATGGTGATTACCAGTTCCAAGAAAGCAGTAGTATGGCCAGATGACAGAGACAGGGATTTCAGATTGTTTACTTCAGGAAGCAGCTAGTGAAATTTTGGGCCCAGAAGAGCAAGCTGAGCTTGATGACCCATCAAATATGAGGAACCTGTGGTGGTGGTGGTGGTGGTTCTGGTATCATGGCTACACTAATTCAGTTTCCTTCATCCCACGAAGAATTTGTTAGGATGAGAAATATATGCTGTAGAAAGGGGAGAGCAAAGAGCAATTGGAATGAATCTTGAGAAATTCCAGAGGGAAGGATGATGGTGAACTGGGCAGACAAGGCAGAAGCTTATTGAGTGTGTCCAATCTCTCCTGGGAGTAGCGAGTCATGGAAGGTCTTATGGATTCTTTCCCAGGGCACAGAATGAGGGGTGTTCTTCATCCTGAGTTGTGAAGGTCCAGTGTTGGTGTGTTTGAAAACTTAGGCACCTGTGTAGCGGTCATGGGATGTGGTTTTCTGCATGTTATATGTGCATCACACAACTAAGGTCATACATGTTGTCATCAGTAACTCTCGACCTGGGTGCCTTTCCCCACTATTGTTCTCAGATCACTTTCAGTCTGCTTCTTCCTTGACTGAGGTTTTCTTTTGTAATCAAAAGTCAAGACATCTTTTCATTCAGGAGTTTTTAATTACTTTCCTTTGTTTATATAGCATGCTGAGATCCTACAATATTTGTCCTTTCTCTGAATTCTTTTGCTTGTCAGGATGCCCTCCATCCATCCAAATTGCAGGAGTCTGCAAGATTTTACCTTTTCTTGTAGCTGAGTAGGGTTCTGTTGTTTCTGTTTATACTACAACTTTATCCATTTATGTGTCCATTTTGGGTTTTTCTGAGTATTGTACTTAGCACGGCAGTGAATATAGGAGTGCATATATCATTTTGACTTTTCTCTTAAGGGGTTTTGGTAGGAACATGCAAATGTGAAATCACTAGGTCTTTTGGAACCTATATTCTTGCTCCACTACCCAACTGCCACCACACTCCAGGCCGCTTTCCACATGCTTGGGCCGAGCCTCACATACGAGTGAAGATATTCCTCGTCACATCCCTACTCATTTTCCATCATTACCACACCATATTTGATGGGTTTCAGACAGTAGGCAACAAATGATAGAGGAAATATATATTTATATATAAACATATAAATATTTTATCATTGTCCTCCCATTGTTCATCGATTTGCTTGAGCGGGCCCAGTAGCGTCTCCATTGGACACTTTGTTGTTACTGTGTTTGGCACATCAAATACAAGGTAGCTTGCCAGGCTCTGCCATTCAGGCGAGATACTCTCGGTAGCTTGCCGGGCTCTCTGAGAGGGTTGGAGGAATCGGACTCGGCTCGGCCATGTTGGCTGCATGCAAGGCAAATACCCTACCGCTGTGCTATCGCTCCAGCCCATAAATAAATATATAAATATTACATATATTTATATATTTCAGAGAGTCCGATAATCTACTGAGGGTATCCTGCCCACACTGCATCTTAGGATATTCATCTTTGGATATTTTTTTCTTGTCAATCTTGTTTATTCTTCCAGAACCAACTGGTGAATTGGCTAATTTTTCCTTTCATTTGAGAATTTTCTTATTTCTTATTTTTAATTTTATTTTTAAAAATTAGTTCACAATATTTGATTAGATTTTATATTTGATCGCCAATCCCAACACCATTACACATTCCCACTACCATATTTCGGATGTTTTCACCCCAAACCCCAACCCCTGCCCCATAGCAGAACCAAAATAATTTATTTTGCATTATTTGTTATGAATCACTTAATCACTTAATCCCCGTTATTCATCGCTTTATTCGAGCGGGTGCCAGTTACGTCTCCATTCATCCCGGTTGCGTGCTAGCGTAGCCCAATGGTATCTGTTCGTTCTAGGAACATGCAGAGCCTCAAACCGATCATTTAGGGTCTTGACGAAGAAGTCTGACCATCTTATAGGTGGGCGTCCACGTGATCTTTTGATGTCCCGTGGAATCCAATCAGTAATGGCTCTAGTCCAGCGGTTGTCTATAAACCTCATTACGTGTCCAGCCCATCTGATTTTTGATGTCTTGGCAAATGAGACAGCGTCCATGATTCTTGAGCGTTGACGAAGATCAGAACTCAGGATTCTATCTCTCATTTGAGTGAATCGTGATAATCCAAGCATAGTTCTTTTGATTCCTCTTTGAGAGACCCGAATAGCGTTCTCATCCTGTTTTCGTAGGGTCCAGGTCTCTGAGGCATATGTTAATGCAGGAAGAATAGTGGAATCAAAGAGATGTGCTCGTAGCTGGAGGTTCTTTGTCCTTTTATTTATTTCTTCAATGCTCTTGAAGGCATTCCAAGCCGCTCTCTTCCTCCTGTGCAACTCAGGTGCCAGGTCATACATCATGTTGATTTCTCGACCTAGGTATATATAACTGTTGCATTCGGAGATGGTGGTTCCGTTGAGAGCGAATGGAGCGTCAGGAACAAGGCTGTTTCTCATAAACATTGTCTTCGTAAGATTCAGCTGTAGTCCGACCTTTCCACATTCACGGTCAAAGTCGTTCAGCATTTGTGCCGCTTGGCTGATGTTTGGTGTTATTAGAACGATGTCATCAGCAAAGCAGAGGTGGTGTAGTTGCCGACCATCTATCTTCACTCCCATGTTTTCCCATTCCAGTCGTCGCATGATGTTCTCGA